ATCTTGCCTGAAACCTATTAATCACATAGTGTACCATTTAATGGTTGACCACTTTGTGTTTTGCCATGTGCTTAGAGGATACAAAGTTGAATAAAACTAATTTAGATTTTAAATATATTTTTCTTTAATGTGGAAATATTTATTACTTTTTTTTTTTTAAGAATACTTATCTAACATGTTCTGGAAAAGCATTTTAAATTATTTCCAAAAGTCGCACCTATGACCCTAAACATTTTTTAAAATATGCTTTATACATATAGATCTTGTATACTTTGTCATCTTTTATAAACAATTTTTGGCAAATTATTTATAAATTTGCTTGTTTTTATAATCTAATTTCTTGCTAAAATGTCCAGTGCTTTATATTAAAAAAATCTTGTTAGCAAGGACAAACATTTTAGAGATATATTTATATCATACAGAAACTTTGAGGATGAGACTTTTTTCTAGGGGCTATACAATATTATATTTACCTTTGGCCATCAGTACCTTAGTTGTGATACACTTTGCTGCCGATGGGACAACTGAAGTCAGCTTTATAGGGTAGTGGTTAACAGGATTGGCAGTGAACTTAAATAGGACAGGTTTCTACTCCTGATTGTATCAACTGCCTAGCTAAGTGGAGTTTGACAAATAACCTTACTAAGCATCGGTTACCTTATACCCCACCAAGAAAAAGCAAAATCTACCTTGTAGAGCTGTTTTAAGAAATGACATTTATAGAAGACCAACGGTTATGAATGTAAGTATACAATAAATGAAAACCATTGCTATTATTATTATTAGTGCTATTATTATTATTAGTGGTGGCGGCATTAGTCGTCATGGTAGGATAATGATAGTAATGATGAGAGTCGTATACAGGAGATAAGCATAACTATAAGCAGAATTTTAAAAACTAGGGAGTGACTATTAGAAACCATCCATGTTCTGCATAGTTTATGCACATCCAAGTATAGACTTCAAGGATGTTTTGATCTTCCTGAGCCCTCATCTTCAAGATAAGACCTGGAATTTGTTGAAGCTCCCTGAACAATGAAGAAAAACGAGCAGCTGAGAACAGAAACTCTGATGCCAAAGTGCTGCTGTTGCTGCATTATTGGGATACAGATCACCCCATCAACCATGATTCCAAGCATTCCCAGAGTCTGTGCCTGCTCCATATTTTATTGCTACAAATACAATATATAGCCCCTTTCTTTATCTTTTCACTAAGAAAATTATTACATACTCATGCAATCACAGAGTGATGGCAAAACCAGAGAGTATGTATGAGTGTGATTTTGATCATGGGTTTCAGGAAAAACCTACATAAGCAGAGAAAGGAGATCTCACAGAGATGACAAACATTTAAAAAAAAAAAAAAAGAAGTGTGGAGTCAATGGCAGGGCCTAAAGGAAGGAAGAATAGCTGGCATCAGATCACAGAAAAAATAACTTAATTATAGAGGTCATAAGATCAAAATTAGGAGTTTTGAGAAAACATATTTTAGAAGTCATACTGGTTTTGCTTATTAAAGTCTGGGTATTAAGGTCAGGAACAAGCATGACCATGACATACAGCATAAGTGCAAAGCAAAGTTTATCCGGAAAAAAAAAAAAAAAAAAAAAATGTAACAGAGAAAATCGATATAATGCTTTTAGTTTCTTAGGTTTTTCCATCTCACAGAAAGGAGTGTTTGCGCTAGGTGCACAGGGAACACTCGAAGAGAATCTCCACCCTAGGAGGGAGCAGTGGGTACCAGATCCTTTGAACTGTCTTGTTGAGATAAGGCCATAAGGATAAAATGAACATTTTTCCCTCTGATTTTGTCCTCTGGAGGAATCCATTTGCCAGTCACAAAAGGCAAGTAGAAATCGAATAGCCTTTAAGGCTAATCCAGTTTAGTTCTGAGTCAATTCATTGCTAGTCCACCTTGAGGCACGGAATAGAGAAAAGCCAATATGGTTGTTCAGAAGACAAAGAATAATTTTCTCTTCTCAATAAAGTGTGGCCATAGGGTTGCAAACTGGAATGGAGAGGAGGAAATGATTATTGGGAATGTGAAAGTCAAGACAAGGAAGGGGTGGGTATATTATTGAGGATCATGTAAGTGGCTACTAAGTTTCTTAAGAATGAGGACAGTCATAAACCAAAATAACAAAACATGATAAAAATAATAATAAGATACTAACACAGGTATTCACTTTCAATGAATGAAGAGGAGTAATGATTTGGTCTTCAAATGATTTTGACAAGTAGAGTTAAACAAGAAATAAGCTGACAGCAAGCATGGAGAAAAGAATGAAGAAAAGTGGCCCAGCAATGACAAGGCAGAAGATCATCTATCCCAACTCCAGGCGTTGTTTTACATGGCTGTGAGAGTAATATCATTTTTCCTGTGAGAAATCAAAAATAGAAAAGAATCTTCAGAAAACAGCCAGCTTTCAGTTAGAGCAGGTAGCTGCAGAGAATGTTCAAAGAAAAGTTGAAGGACTCAAAGGATTTTGTGGTGTCACACTGAGATCCATCAATGGTCATAATTGGACTGAAGGGATTCCAGTAAGACCTGAGGGTATTCCAAGCCAGAGAGTAATTAGAATCATGGTGATGGTAGACGACAGGAGAAGCTTAAACTTTTGAGAAGGCCTGATAAATGATCGGATGTGAACAATGATGAGATTGATATCAATGGCTTGCTAGAGAAAAGAAGGGAATTTATAATTTTTGCTTAATTCTTAAGTATAGCTTAATCTTCAGGTCATAGGAGCAAGCCCTTGGTGCTGAGGTCTGGAAAGGAATATTTAGAGTAGTGACATGCAAGAGCTGTTGTGCAAAGTATTTCAGTTTTAGTTTGGAAGGTGCGAATGTGTGTTACCAAGAGCAGAGGGTGGTCTTAAATTTCAGGGTGTTCCTATGGGTGGTCTCATAGCACAGGTAGCTTCTGTCTCAAGATTTTCCTGGTACTATACCATAACTATGGCTTTACGGACCTGTCTGAAGACTGAAGGACTTAAGTTGTAAGCTTAAAAACTCGCTTGACTATAAAGTTTATTTTCTATTTCACTGCATGATAAACTAGCATTGTGTCTATTTTTTTCAGTTTTTCTTTCTCAACAGTTTGCAGAATTACCATTATACAATGGAATATATTTGTAATGATAAAATGCAAAAAAAGTGAAGTTTTGTATATGGCAGAGATGTATCCATGTTGTTGAACAGCATTAAATAGATGAAGTCCTTAAGTATGACAATGCATTATGTTCAAAGAAGAAGAAAAGATAAATATTCATATAATTTTTTTCCACAATAAGGTAATACATTCAATATACCAAATAATTAAGAAAAAGTAAATTCAAACTAATCTTGAAAAGAATACTTCAAATAATATTTTACATTTACTGTTAATAACTTTTTATGTCTAAATACATAAAAGGAGGGCATATACTCTACTAATATAAATAATGACTAATACTTTTGTACAAACTTGTTTGCTAAATATTCGTACACATTGCTGCAAGTATGAAAAGTTGTTTTCATGTGACATAGAATGCTACTCACATTTGAAAACTTACAAGTAGCTATGCACATGATATAAAAGAATCTTTGACAATTCCAAGGTTTAAGTCATTTGTTTTCAAATGCTAATTCCATACCAAACAAGAGAAAGGTAGAAGACCTTTCATTTGGGAACCCTTTTCTTTTTCCTTTTTTTCGCAGAGTAGTAAAAATAACTTCAAATCAGGATTTAGACTGCTCTGTTGAATTGTGGATTTCACACACAACAGCCTTTTCCCACAGTTGGATTTCAGTGGGAAATAAAATGTATGCAACATAAGGGATTTAAAGCTTTTATTTGTGAATATTTACCTTAAACTATGATAAAATATTTTGTTTGGTTCCTTTTTCCCACTTTACATTCATTACTTTATCTCAGTATTAATAAAGAGGCTTCTATAATATGTAGTTTTATTTAAAGGAGCGAGTAGACCCAGCGGACATAAGTCTAAAGGAGCCTGTGAATTTTAAATTAAGTGTCTTCGCCTCAAGAAAACAGTCTTAGCCTCCATGAAGAATTCACCAAGCTGTCTTAACCACTTGAATCTCTCTAGCCCTGGGAATATGCATAAGGCTTTATTTCTTCCTTCTTTTTCTTTATTTATAGATGAACAAAATAAAGTTCCCTTTTTTGTCCACCTCCTACACTTCAAACACACAAGTATTTAAAAGCCATTCACTCCATGTTCAATCACCACGTTTTAGTAGTGTCACATTTTATTTGGAGATACGTAAAATTGTATTTTTTAAAAAACATTTGTTTTCCTTTTAAAGAAACGAATTTACATAATGCACAAGCCTCTGATGGGCACCTCTATTATCTACCCTTCATGGATAAGCTTTACCATTGGGGGAAAAAATAGAAGTTGAATTGTTTTTTCTATTGTCAGTTTTCCTTTGAAGCATCAAATAGGATATTGATATTTTTTCGCACTTAAGCTATTTACTTACTGTGACTTAACGAGCCGTTATAAAGTGAGCCATATCCCCACCGTGCATTTCATACAACTATTACTAGAACTTTTTTCAGAAGGATTTATCGACTAATCAATACCTTTCTTATTGTGCCATTTCCAGAACTACTAAACAGACTTCTCTCTAAAGCAGGGCTTGACTTTAGCTTTGGTTCACCCTCTCTGAGAGTTGTACAATGTACAACAGGGACTCTAACAGGTGGATCATGTAGTTTCTGTGATGTGGTTATGGTCACCATTATTTTTGGTTATTTCCAGGGAAGATGAAACTCATTCAATTGCATGATCGGGTAAGAAGCGAAGTCGTTCCAGAAATTTAAAATTATAATTAAAACCATTATCTTTACTGAAAGCAAATATGTCAATCATTAATTTGTAGATGTTTAACATTGTTTGCAAAAGATTATTTTAGATTATATACTCATAGAGGCAAAGTTAAAAATTCATCGTTATTAATGATAAATATTATCTGAATTCTTTTTCTCCTCTTTTTCTTAAACTTGACATTTTGACACTGAATTGAAATAGGTAGTAGTAAATTCTGCAGGAACCATACACAAAATTTCATTTGAGCAACAGCACTCTCCCTGTGATATATATTTTCTACAGATGATTTACAGGTTACAGACATGCTGTGACCTTTCTCTCCCAATTGCAAACAGATTAAGGAGAGCTGATTAACCGAGACTAAAAACACTGTGTCGTTTTTTCTTATGGGGGGTCTTTGACAAAGCCCTCCTTTCTGAGTCCTCCCACTTCATTCGCTTGCAAATCATTGTGTCCAAAGAGGTCTTCAGTCCCCCAAGCCCAAACCTGGCGCCCTGCAGCGCCATCAGCGGCAGTATCTTCCTATTTGAGGGACGTTTCTTATTAATCAGAAACGCTGAATGGAAACCAATCAGATAGAGAGTTCCTTTGGCTTCAGCTTCCTGCCTGTCTGAGTTAAAAGTGATGCTCGAAGAGAAAGCCACACTGAGATGCATGAAGATTCAGCTGTGAAGATACTATAAAAAGAGAAGAGAAGGACCGAGACAGAAGCAACAACGGAATTGTCAGTGCGGAGTAGGGCTAAACTCAGTTCCATTGTTAAGCAAGGTAAGTGTTATTTACTTTGCTTGACAATGTAAGCTATTCAGTTTTTGCTTTCTTATAACGAAGTAGTACAAATATTGCTTTTCTCCTGGTTGCTATATTTTGCTCTCTCTCTCTCTCTCTCAACACTTGGAAGCACATAAGAATACATTTTAGTAGTATTTGAATAAAATGTTTACATGCTCAGTGACAAAACTTGCAACATTTGCTTCTTATTTTACTTTTACAAAGCTGATACCTACTCAAGCTCTTTTTATAGTCCTCATATTTGCATATGGAATATTGTTGTAAAAATAAAACTAAACTTAAAATTGTATCAGTTGATCGTGGTGGCTTTCAATTACTCACATATTTATGTGCTCATGTATATGATTATTATATTACTTTGAAATGGACTCCTGGTCTTCTCATAACTTTTGTTTAAATCATTTGAGTCAAAACTGTCAAAAATAAGGGCATCTTTATTCATAATTGAATAAGAAATGCTTTCTTTATTTTCAATATTATCAATGAAACAATGTATGAATAGTAAAAATGCCACAGATGCATATTGGATGTCAGGATTAAGGTGATCACTTTACCTGGTAAAAGAGGTTTCTTCACATATTTGTGACTCTCACTGAGGTCAACACTTTGAATGTATATATCTGTTAGCTATAATTGTTTTCCATTATTGTAGGCAAATATATCTTAATGTCATGACGACTAGATGAAAGCCACAAGAAAGGGAGTGTTTCTAAGGCAAAATTGGCATTGAAAACAATTGAAGTGATGTGGGAAATGCATTGATTTGGTGGATAATTGTTTTATTGTGTTTTCCATCGCATGCTCAAGATGACCATTAACACCACATAAATTTGTGCAGGTATGCTTGTCTCAATAAAGGCTTGGATTTTAGCTATAAAGTCATCAAAATTCTTTAGTATTGACAGTTAGAGATTGTTACCAGGGTGAAATTCTCATCATCTGTTTTAAATAACAAAGGTGTCATAAAAAGAAAGTTATTAACTGTAGTAGATAAGTTTACATTTATTTGTATCATCAACTTTTGATGAAGATACAATGGACTACAGATCTGAGGAGAAATTGGTGGTCTTCTCCGGAGATGTGTTGTCATTTTATATTTTGTATTATAGATATATGAGATTCCTAATAGTGATTTTTTCACAAGGTTTCTAAATCTTTGTAGCATGAAGAATGAATGATTTTGTGACATCAAAAAAAAAAGTGGTAACTTTTGCAAGACAGAAGGGAATATTTCTTCGTCTCTCTTTGCTTTATCTATGAATTTAGAAGAATTACCCATCTTCAGGCACAGTCGTAAAGAATGACTTTGATTATTCAAGATTCTCAATTTTGTAAAAAACCTTCTCCTACATTCTGCAGAAGATGAATCCTATTTTTCACATTCAAACACTACATCATTGCCTAGGCAAGTCTATGTCAATTGTGAAATACATTTTTGCAACTATAAAACTGGCTAGTCCAGGTTTGAAACATAGATCTTTTGAAAGATAAGGAAAATGAAATAACATGCTATTACAGCACATAGCACCAAAGAACTTGAACATAACATAAATAGCATGTGTTTGTAGTCTTGTCACCAAATATGTTATGGGTTTGACTGAAGTTTTTCCAAATGAGGAGTAGACAAATAATTATATGCACTTAACAGATATATGTTTACATGTTGAAATACCTTCATCTCTATACGTGTTTTGAAAAATGAAAAAGAAAGCAAGATAAGTACATACTAGGAGCAAATCCAATTCTGGAAATAAATAGAAGAACTGCTTTAGAGAAAGCAGAGAGTAGTATGAATTTAAGAGTAATACACTGAAGTTAGACAGATTTGGTAGTACTAATAAAAACAATAGTCCTGTCAGATAATAATTTTTCTAGGATAAAAAATACTATTTTTCTTTTATTACAGTATTTGAAAGTTTAAAAATCTTCAAAATGGTTTGCATACTTATGCTACTGTTATTGCATTCATTGCATAAAGAAAATAAAAATGTCTCATACCATTGCCTGTGTGTCAGAAGAGTACAATATCAAAGTTGATCTTGAAATTATTCTTTTAAATGTTGTGTTGCTCAGCTTGATAAATCGTGTGTTGAATCAGAAGCTCATTTGAACGTCATCCTGCATGGAGGGATTTGTTCTGGTGTTTTCCTATAACCCCTATACATGCCAAGCTTAGCCAATGCTGTGTGCCTTCCATGGTACATTCACCAAGTAAGATTTTTAAAGCAAAGTTAATTAATATTTTTTTATTCTACTGGCTTAGCTTTATTTAGGCATCAATAGTGATATGAGGCAGATGCTCCTTCCCCACAATATTTCTACAGTATATGGATGTAGTTAATAAGAATGCTGTAGAGAGTGCTTACAAATTATATAATATAAAATATGCAATTAATGTGGCAACATATAATATGCAAGAAAGTATAGATTAAGGTGAAAGTTAATTTTTTAAAATGTGTGAATGTGTCATGAATAAACATTGGCTGTAACTTGTTCTCTATGAAAGTAAACAGTCTAGATAGATAATTATTTAATATTAATGCAGATGCTTCAATATAACTTATCATTAATTTGCTATATTCTTTAAGACTAATTTTGCTCACTCAAAGACACATTTAAATATGATGTACAAATAATCTCACATTAGAAAAAAATGATGCCTTAAAAAATGTCCAGTGTAATATTTTTGACTTCAAGGACACACATACACACACACACACACACACACACACACACACACACAAGTCAATAGCAATATTAACATAGAGTAATTTTGATTCATGGTGAGATTTTTTTGTAATAAAAATTCTATTTAGTTTCTTGGGTATTTTACCTTATAAATCATCTGCTTAAATTTTCTTAAAGAAGAAGAAAGCATGCTAAATAGAATCAGAAGGACATTGATTTAAAATGAGTCTTGTTTGTTTTTACCTGATGCTAAATTTATAAATGTGGTCATTTCTCTTATAGAACAGAAAACATGTTTCCTAAGATAAAGCAATTTCTTTTTCTGTATCTTGCATATTTGTTTTCAGAAACAAGTTGTCTTTTCAAAGATATCCCAAATAACTCTCAATACCCATGAAATTATCTTATTTAGGTGTTTATATAAAATTTTGGAACTTCAGAAAAGGGATTTTAACTCTCTCTCTCTCTAATTTTACACATGTGAAAGCGGAGGCTTAGAAAGAGATCAAGCTACATATTCAAGACTATCAAGTTTTACATATATACACACACACACGTATATGTGTATATATGTGTATATGTATATATATGCAATATTACGTGGAACTTTAAGGTATTAAGTCATGAAACTCAAATTAGAAATATAGAAAAATACATAAAGAGATGATAGACAGATAGATAATAGATAAATACATAGATGAAGATTAGATAGATAGATAGATAGATAGATAGATAGATAGATAGAGATGTATAGACTATTGAAAACAATGAATTCTGGATTGTTATAAACAATCTAAAAAGGTAAAAAGTTTTTTTTTTTTTTTTCTCTTGTGAGTCATTTCAATTTCTCTGCCTGGAAGCACCATTATCCTCATTATTAAAATATGGTAAGGAGTATACAGTGAGGAAAATGTCTTTATAGCACTCTTACACATTTCCATAACAGCCCTAACATGTTAATGCACTTATCCCTAAATTTAGCACTAGAAAGACATGGTCTTCTAGTTACATTACAAATGCAAAGTGCCTGAACAAAAGCAGGGTCTCTGGAGCCTGACCAAGAGACTTCATATTAGCACTTCCAAGGAACACCTCTCCAAACATAAAAGTCATTATAATGGATCTCATTGGCTGTGAGAGGAAAGTGGAAACATCATGGGGTGCTGTGGTCACAGATGCTCTGTGTGTTTGTGTGTTTGTGTGTGTGTGTGAGAGAGATGTATTATTTATTTATATTTTAGGAAGAAAAGTAAAGACAAAAAGAAAAGAGCTGAATATTTTCTTAAAATGACATTCAAGGTTTTTCTGAGTATTTTTTTCTATCTTATTAATTTAGCAAATTATAATCCAGTTGCAGGAGAAACAAGCATTTTTGTATATCTTCCATTTCTCTTGATGAGCAAGATAATTTTTGACCTCTCTAATTGATAGATGAAACACCAGAGCATATGATGGTTTCATAAATATGGATTAAAAAGCCAACCCCTCATATCAGATTTTGAAATTGGCTCTACAATTCCGAAGAGTGTGGATGACTTCATTTTAATTTCTCCTCCAAACACTAGTTCAATTTACAGTGGAAATATAGTAACTAATAGTTATTATTTAAATTTGAATATGAAAGATTTAATATGTTCATTAATGTATTGGAAGTTGGTAGAAACATATATCTAACAGAATTTATATTAGAATATGCTGCACTTGACATACTTTATATATTATTAACACAGTTTCCAAAGCATAATAGACTTTTTCCTCATATTTTGTAAAAGAGCATCTTTGGAAAGTCATATAAAAAAAGAAATGATATACACAGCAAGCTGTATAACAGGGGAGACAACAAATAATGCATATAACAAAGTGTAATCCAGGCAAAAGAGCAACAGTAATTCACTTCCTGGGTCAAAAGACATGATATGAAATACACTAGTTTTGTAAAACTGGGAAATGAGTCTTAAAAGTTGTCTAAGGGAGTTTTCCTCGGACAATCAGCCAACTCTAAAATGTACTTGTTTTTTTCTACCAAAGCAGGTTACTGTAGTATTATTACATAATTTCTAGAAATGTTTTAAAATATTCACATCTATATGTTATAAATGCTTCACAATATAAAGAACATGTAAGAAAAATGTTTTCTTTTTAATTTTAATGGTAATTAAGCTGCAGAAGAAATGTAACAGTTTCTTGTTAAAGAAAACTTAAACGTTCAAGAAAACTTAACAGAAAGTTAACAGAAAACTTAGTTGAAATTACAGACTAACATCTATGTATCTATCTATGTATCTATC